CGTGCACATCTCCAGCAAGGTTCACGTCCATCCAAAAAGCTCAACAATTTAAAGGATGTCAAGAGGTATCTTAACGCTGCTACTATCGCAAGAGCCGACCTACTTGTAGTCAAACGCGACGAGCCCCTCGTCCCCAGCCGTAAATGCATTATTGCACCTCGACAGGTACTAGATGGGTTGCTAACAGCTCTCCACGTCCAGCTAAACCATCCATATAGTAACCAACTCGAGGCAGTCTGTATACGGTTACCTATACGCCTTATATTTGGACAAAGCCATCGACCGTGTAACTCAGGCTTGTTTCGACTGCGCCGCCTTACTTCACACTTCAAAAGCTCGTGTAGAGCAGTCATTCAGCCCCCACCTGCTGCCATAGGCGTATCTTTCACCGCCGACGTCTTCATATTCAGGCAGCTTGTGCTTGTACTCCAGGGAACTGTGACGTCTTTCACCTCCACGATCTTACTAGAAGACGAACGCCAGCATACGTTAAGGGATGCCCTTATCCGCCTCTACCTCCAGCTACGCCCACTGGACGGTCCACACGCAATTATACGCACTGATCCCGCCCCAAGATTCGACGCCTTAGTTAACTATGAACGTCTCCACCTTCCAAGAATTTCTATAGAGATCGCTGATGCCAAAAGCCTGAACAAGAACCCAGTCGCAGAGAGGGCAATACAGGAACTTGAGCATGAACTGCTCCTGCAAGAGCCTCAAGGCGGTCCCGTGTGGCTAGTCGTAACCACATTTAACCTAAGTGCATCCACACACGCGGTCTGTCTTCAAGAGAGATGTAGACCCAACGAGACCAGTTCTCGAATGAACAGCTCCCTCTTGACCATGTGAACTTACAAACCTCAAACCATCTGCCTTAACGATGCAGACTCCTCCACTGACAAAACCCTGCCAACACGTCCAGCGCCTCCAGTCCTACCAGTGATACCGAGTGCGATCTCGACTCCACGAACCCAGGATTTTCCTGGACTAGACAGCCCTCCTACCTGCCCGGAAGTGCCTTTCAAGTTGCAGCCACGCCCTGATTAAAACGGAGCCCACCTCGATAGTGATAGCGACTCTGATGCTGTTCCCCCCCCCCCAGCAGGTCCACCCGTGAGCGCCGTCGCCCGGCACGTTACAATGACTTTGTTACAGATTTTAGGTAACCGGACAGTGGACCATGTGTCTCAGCCTATTATTTCTTTCCACTTTGCATTCCGTCAAGTTTGCTGTTTACAAATTTTGTCATTCCAAAGAAGAGACTAAACAAAAGTTGTCAAACCAGTACCGGTCAGCGGTACTTCTGTAAAAGGCACGACTCTCACGCTCGCGGGGCTTTAGTTTTCCACAACCCACTTTATCGACAGTCGAGTGGTATCTACCAATTTACTTTTCCCTTGGAAGTGTAATTCTGAATCGATCGGCTGCGATCAAAATGGTCTGGATTCGAGGGCCATGAAATCGACGCAAATTCAGTGATATACATACATATTTACAATGAGGCTAGCTTCGGGCACAGACAACACAGGCTGGTCACGCACGCTGCCTGAATAGACTATTTCCTAGTTACCCCGGGCCTTTCTATCAAAACGAGGTTAAGTGCTCAACCTTTGATATGGAAATGATTTTTCAATCATGCAAATAAAACTCATTTACACAAGAAAGGTTGTGCACTTCACCTCATTTTGAAAGTGGGGGTTTTTGGGACTCGGAAGTGGTCTATTAGTCTGCTGGGAAGCCTGGTGGCTTCGCAGCAATTATATGGCCTTTTCATTATGGACCTGAGCCTGCGATCAATTCAAACCTGGTCAGCAGATAACTTAAAAAAACACGTCACCTCAATGAGTTGTACAGTCAGATGACACTAGTCAGCGGATACCCTCTTTGACAGGTGTCAGTTGACCATAACATGGCTGTCCATAAGGACGTCCACTATCGAGTTAACACCGATCGTATGTGCCTTGGACACCTAGCTGATAATGCCCGGTTATTGCAAGAGAACAGCCAATCAGAGCGCACGTACTGTTGTGGCCATATATTGTGTGCTAAATTCCCATAAGTGCAGTGCATCAATTTAAATGAGGTAGTTCATGTTGTGAAAGCGGTCGTCATTGTGATTAATGTTCACTCAAACTCTTCCAAAGGAGAGGTTCCATTGTACTTACGCCGTACATTTCTCAATCTTTCTCACACAGATGGGACGAAAAAGGTGAAACGACTATTTCTTTACGAACTGATTCCCGAGTTGTCAGATTTATCGAAGGCATCTTTCTACTCCTACAAGGGATCTCTGACCACACCTCCCTGCTACCAGTCTGTGAGGTGGATCGTATTGAAAACCCCTATTGCCGCTACAAAAAAAGACGTAAGAAGATTGTTTAGTTGTAAAAATCCATTTATATTACAACCAATGGCTATAGGCAAAAATTTTACTTCGTAAAGGGGTAATATTAGTCAGCTGACTGCATGGAACGGTTATGAACTTAGTTCACCTAGATCAGTTGGCACCCCGGGGTTGGCACTTCCAATTTCTCTGATTCTAGAATTACTAAATACAAATAAAATTGAGCTGCGACTAAAATACTCCAGATACAATTGTCTTTCTTTATATTCCACTTTTGTTCAATATCTAACACACGTTACATTACTTTCGTAGCATCTCGTTACCGAAAGGATTCGATTTAGCGCCCTCCTTCCAATAAGCGTATCCCTTCGAATAAGCGCCTCCCTTCGAACGTGTTTTTGCAGAAACTCTTAAGGGGTTGAAACGTGTAACTCTCATATGTTTGCTTTGTCCGATGCTCGTGATTATTCATTTTCGAAAGTACCATATTTGGCACGAGAAGAAAAGATAACTGACCAATCAAACTTCGTAAACAATGTGAAATTATTTTACTTCACGTTCCCGCGCCAGCTTACAAAAAATGGCCAACAAACAGGGGAAAAACTCCCGAAAGCCGAGAAAGCTTTCAAAGGTTGAAACTTGGAATCTTACCGAAATACTGAGCAGGATGTTATTGGCTTACCACCCGGGCCAAACGTAACATTATGAAACCCAATGACGTCCTCGTGACTTCTTGAAGTTGTCACTTTCAAAAAACGATGCCTCGTTGACCCTCTGTACAGTAAACTTATACCGCTAATGGGCTTTTAAAATTCTTATGTTAAAAGTCTAGAACAAACTGTAAAAATATTTTGGAATAAAATTCATTAGCTGCGTATCGAAAAGTGTCCAAAACCTAAACCTGACATCTTCGCAAAACGTGATGCGCGTAATGAATGTGAGAAGCATTAAGCTTAAATTCACCTTGGATACTGAAGTCACACTCACAATAGGCAGAGAAGCGGTTTCTTTTTGACGAAAAGCTTCCCATCCTCCACAAAAAGAAAGCTGAGCATTCTTTTGAACTTTCTCTTTCCATTTTTTGTCTTTTAATGGTGTATTTTTAACCTTGAAATACAGAACTCTCGTCTTAAAAACATCTGCATAGTGATCGCGCGGCAGCCATTTTGTTGAAAATGGATATCCGTCACTAAGGTTTTCAAATATGGTAAAAGTGAAAGTGAATATTCACGATCATTGAACGCGAGTTACACGTTTCAACCCCTTATGAGTTTCTGGTTTTTGTTAATAAGCGCCGCTATTCTATTAAGTGTCCCATGCTAGTAAGTGCCATTCTAGAAATTTATTGGAACAAGCAGCCGATTTTGGCACGAGGTAAAAGTCGTGTGTTGCCTACCGACCTCCTTTTTACACTATCAACGAACTGAACGTGGAACCAGAAATGGTATTGACGTAAGTAACACTGTCAAAGCTATCGGCGTAGAAATAGATTAAAATTCCCCCACGTTAACTGAACATTCATCGTATATTTGTTACTGTTACAGTTTCTGTCATTGTTTTTTTTAAAATAAATGTTAATATTTTGTTTTGAACATTCGGTTGTTTCTCAAAAAGAAATAAGCGCCCTCCCTTGAGGTACCAAAAGTAAATAAGCGCCCCGGGTGCTAAATCGAATCATTACGTTACCTTACATTACAATTGCAACTTTTAAAACTAATATTTCCTTGTGTTATATGCATGAAGAAATACATTTAGTGGAAAAATTAAAAGAAAAACAATTTGAAGAAAAATTATATTCAGATTACACACATTGCTGCTGTATAACGATATCAAAATACATTTATGGTAATAAAACTGATACAGGCAGCGAGGGCCTGCTTTACACGGAGGTAGGGGACCCCAGATGTGGTGGGTCACGCCACCTATCACGTAAACGTGACAAAAGTAAAATGAGAGATTCAATGGACAGGCGGGTTACCCCGCCTAGCTGGGGTCTTCCACCTCCTTGTAAACAGGCCGTAAGTCTTCACTGATAAATTTATACGTTTTCTTCTAGTTGAAATTAATGAGGCGTCTCCTTGATCACGAAGAACACTCATTTTGCAACAACTTTCGTCCCACCCAACCACTAAACGGTCGTGCTGTATCTGAAACCTGAGACGAGTAATAGACACTCGCCCCCAGAGGAAATGATCGTAAACTGCTGTAGTGCTATTTGAGACGTATTAGTATGTATTTTTCAAAGGGAGCTGATATTGTTAAGTGTCATTGTTAAACAACAAAATAATAAACTGAATGCAATTAATCATCGACTGGTATTTTATTACGTTTCTATACTGGCCTTTTATTAAATTGAGTTAAACAGCTTTTGTAAAGTTTGACCTGAACTTTATTAACAGACCAGTAATGACGAATACTCAAATCCTGGTATGCATGTGGGGGCCCAGAACAAGGAGTTCGGTGTTGTTTCGCAGACGGACTTAACCAGATCTAGAGTTTAGTTTCGTCTGTGGCGGAGGCTAGTGACACAGCCGCCATTGAGCAACTATCCTTTAGAGAGGGAGACTGGGGCTGGCATGCATAGCGAGTAGACGTGTTTTCGAGAGCTCCGCTCTGGTTATTGAGTTAATTTTCTGGCAGCCTGCATTTCTTGTATATGGAAACCATCCTTTCTTCTTTGAAACGTACAATATCAGAGAGAAGCAATTCAGATTCGTCTGAGTCAAGTTCTCCGCAGGAAAAGCGTTCAAAGAGTTTAGCCGAGGAAGACGAGGTTCTCCAAGCCTTAAACATGGCCGGTAACGTTAGTGAAAAACTCGATAAAATTCTTGGGGAACTTAAGAAACTGGAGAAACTCGATGCAATTGAGGCAACGTTGAAGGATTTAACAAGCAGATTGGGGAACGTCGAATCAACTATCGACAAGATGAAAGAAGACGCACGTGCTGTGGAAAGTTCGATCAAAGGTATGGATAAGAGTCTTACATATCTCAACAAAGAAGTTGAAGAGCTTCGTGGAACGGTAGAAGACAAGGATAAGCAAATAGAATATTTGCACACGCAACACCTTTATCTCGAATCGTACAGCAGGAGAGAAAATCTGAAATTTTTTGGCATACCGGAAAACGAAGCCAGCGCTTCGCAGGGGAAAGATGCGGTTGGCACAATTGATGTTTTGTGTGAGTTTCTTCATGATGTCCTTGGCTTTGGGGATCCAAAGAGGAATATGGAGTTTCAACGAGTGCATCGGATCGGTAAATCCGTACGTGGAAAGCCCAGGCCGATATTAGCCCGTTTTTTACGCTATCAAGATCGCGAGACAGTGCTTCGTGCTGGGTTTGAATTGAAAGGCACTGAGTATATGATTTTGCAAGACTTCCCTCAGGAAATCATAGAGAGAAGGCGCAAACAAATGCCTAAATTAAAGGAAGCCAAAAAAAGGGGCCAAAAAGTATCCTTTAGTAAATCGGAACCGGATAAACTCTTTATTGATGGCAAGTTCATTTCTGCGTAAGGGTTATATTATCTGTGACCTTTATTTGTTATAGCAAGGCTGTAAGGTGTTATCGTTTGGTTATTGTATATTATAACCATGCAGCAAAAGCTCTCTAGGAGAGATGTCGAATTATTTAATTAGTTCCATCCTCAAGGGCAGCGTTAAGGATATTTATCTTGCTGCTCTTTTAAGTTTTGTATTTTTCAGTATCTCGTTGAAATGTAATTTTTTCGTTTCTGCTTTTGTAGATGTTCTGCTTTGCTTTTACTATGTTTTTCAAAGCTATTCTGGCGCGTTAATGAGGATATATTCTTTAAAGTTTGAAGGTGCCAAACTGACGCTTAACTTTTCCCACCTAATGAAGTTGTTTTTCCCTTTGGCGAAGTAGGGCGTAGTAACGTTGATTTTAGCCTTTTGTCACTAAATGCTCGAGGGATTCGTACTTTTGAAAAGCGGAAAGCAATTTTTAGCTGGCTTTTAAATTCTGGAGCCGATATTTGTTTTCTGCAAGAAACCTACAGTACTCAAGAAGTCGAAAATATCTGGAGAAAACAGTGGAAAGGAAACATGTTCTTTTCGCACGGTAGTAGCCATAGTCGAGGTGTACTTGTACTGGTAAGGGATAACTTAGACTTTCAAATGCGATCTATCAAGGTTGATTCTCAAGGTCGCTATGTTTTCTTAGAGGTTTCCATTCAGGATTCACCATACTTTCTTTTAAATATATACGCTCCAAACAAATGTAGTGAACAATGTACCTTTTTTAAAGAAATATCAGAAATTTTGAAAGCGGCTAGAACAGAACAGGATTACCCAATTATCGTCGGAGGCGATTTTAACGTCATACTTGACCCTGACTTAGATGGACGGGGCGGAAACAACAGAAAGAAAGACTCCGCAATATTAGTTGAAGATATGCACCTCGATTTCGATCTGGTTGATATCTGGCGTATTAGGAACCCCACTACATCACGATTTACTTGGCGTCAAAAAACTCCGGTTGTGCAGAGGCGTTTAGATTTTTGGCTTATAAGCGACAGTTTGCAAGATGAGATAATTTCAGCGGAGATTAAAACATCAATAAAAACTGACCATTCGGCAATAACCCTTTCAATTTGCGGCTTAGATGAAACTGAGAGAGGACCGAATTTCTGGAAATTCAATTCGAACTTAGTAAATGACTCGGACTACTGTGAACTTTTAACCACTGAATATGTGAATTGGTTAGAGGAATTTAAAGAGGTTCAGGATAAGCGTGTTTTATGGGATTTAATTAAATACAAAATAAGACAGCAAACAATTACATACAGTAAAGGTAAAGCCCGTGAAAGAAGAGCAAAACTACAAAAGGTGGAAGATAAGCTGAAGGAATGTACAGAAAAATGTGATATTGATCCAAATAGTGGAAATCTCGAGGAACTGGATTGCCTTCAAACAGAATATGATCAATTGTACGATTACATTACACAAGGGGCAATCATTCGCTCTAGGGCAACCTGGTATGAAATGGGTGAAAAAAACAACAAATATTTTTTGAATTTAGAAAATTCAAACAAAACTAAAAGCAGTGTCCGCAAAATCTTAACAACTGTTGGAGAATTAACTAGCGACCCAAAAAAGATTATGAATGAATTGGAATCATATTATTCTAATCTCTATGATGGTAGAAATTCCGCAGACACGCAGACAATTTCTTCGTTTATAAATGATCTCACCGATGTTCCATTTTTAGCCGAGGAGAAGAGGAACGTTTGCGAGGGTATCCTTAGATATGATGAATGCTATAATGTATTACAGACCTTCCAAAAGAATAAATCGCCAGGGAACGACGGTTTAACAGCCGAGTTTTACTTAGCCTTTTGGCCCTTGCTTGGAAAGTTGGTAGTTGATAGTTTGAACTATGCTTTCGAATACGGTGAACTATCGAACTCACAGAAACAGGCCGTTATCACCTTAATTGAAAAGAAAGGAAAAGACAAAAGGTTGGTGAAGAATTGGCGTCCAATATCTCTTGTAAATGTTGATGCTAAATTGGCGTCTAAAACTTTGGCAAAGCGTTTGGAAAAGGTGCTTCCTGAAGTAATTCATTTTAATCAAAACGCGTTTGTAAAGGGGAGAACAATTTTTGATGCCGTCAGAACGATCGATGATGTGATTGAATATGCTAGGTACAAAGATATACCTGGGATTCTAGTAGCTATAGACTTTGAAAAAGCTTTCGACTCGCTCAATTTAAATTTTCTTTTAAGAGTATTACATGCATTTAACTTTGGTCCTTCTTTTATTCAGTGGATACGGGTCTTATATAACAACGCCTCTAGCTGTGTAATGAACAATGGTTTTACAACAGGACCTTTTGCACTAAGTAGGGGAGTAAGGCAGGGAGATCCCCTCTCTCCCTACCTGTTCATAATAGCTTTGGAGACCTTAGCTATAAAGATAAGAGAAGATGATGGCATTAAGGGCATTACGATACGAGATGAACCTGTTAAACTTTCCCTTTTCGCTGATGACATGACCTGCTTTATCAAAGACAGTAGTTCTTATACCAACCTATTCGTTACGCTGAAGACTTTTGGTGAATGTTCTGGTTTAAAAATAAATAATGAAAAAACCGAAGCCTTAGCTTTAGGAAATAGTAGTTCTCTTTGGGAGGGGTATTCTGATATGCCAAATCTTTGTGACACTATTAAAATTCTAGGCGTCTACTTTGGCTATGACGCTAAACAAAGAGATGAATTGAATTTTAGGAATACTTTGAAATCACTTAAGAAGACGATCAATTTGTGGAAATGGCGTGGTCTTTCTCTCTTAGGTAGAATACAAATTGTAAAAACCTTTGCCATCCCTAAGTTTATGTTTAGAGCGTCGGTGTTGCCAATTTCTAAAGACCTTATCAAAGAGGCCGACTCGCTTTTTTACTATTTTATTTGGAATGGGAAAGATAAAGTAAAACGAAATGTAATGATTTCGGAAGTTGAGAAGGGTGGCTTAAATATGCTCGATATTGATTCTATGGTTCGTACCAGACGAGTGATATGTATGAAAAAATATTTGGAAGACTATAAAAGTCCGTGGAAAGCTTTTTTAAATGAGGTTCTTATCCCCGTTGGTGGGAAGCTCATATTGCATTGTAATTTTGATACTTCTAAATTAAGAATTTATTTACCAAGTTTCTACAAGCAATGTCTCGATGCGTGGTCAGAAGTAAATGCAAAAACACCCAGCTTGCTACATGAAATTGCAAATGAAGTTATTTGGAATAACAAGCTTCTCTGCATTAATAAGAAATCTGTGTATCGTAGAGATATTGCAGATTTAGGGTTTTTAAAAATTTGCGATTTATTTTCAACTAAAGAAAATCTCAATCCTGAGCAAGGTTTCTTCATTATGGGTATTATTAACTCTATGCCTGCCAGTTGGCGCTTGACAATTAAAAGGGCAACTACTGCACCGGTGATTGATCCACTTCCGGATTCACCTGCTATCCTAATAAGTAACAATTTGGTTCCAATTCTTGATGCTTCCTCAAAGCAAATCTACCGGCTTTTCCTGGAGAAAAAACAAACAACGCCTACTGCTAAAGTAAAGTTAGCTGCAAAGTATTCAAACATTGATATTGATTGGAAAAGTGTTTATTCGCTACCTTTTCGCACAACATTAGAATCTAAACTTAGAGAATTTCAGTTTAAAATTTTAAACCGTATTGTCTTTACAAACGAAAAACTGTTTCGTTTCGGCTTGGCTGAGTCGCCATCCTGTGCTTTCTGCCAAACAGAGGTTGAATCCGTAGAGCATTTACTCTTTTCCTGTAGAGTATCATCTAGTTTTTGGAAACATGTCTTGTCCTGGTTGCGCGATAATAACATCTCTGTTGATAACCTTAAAGAGGAGGACGTCATTTTTGGTAAGTTCGATATTGCAGAAGATTTTCTGCTGTTTAACCATATGTTGCTTCTGGGTAAGTTTTATATTTACTCTCGGAAATACCAGAATGGTATACCTTCTCTTCAAGGTTTTATAGCCAGGACAAGGCGTATTTATAACATCGAACTCCATATTGCCAGGAAAAGAGACAAATTAAACAATCATTTTAGAAAGTGGGAAAAGTTAATAAGCGTTTTTACGTAAAAGTGATGTTATGATTAATTTCAACAATTAGTTTAAAGTGATGTCATTGTAATTTACATGCTAAGTAACTGTATTGCTGTAATAGCTTTGTTTAGCTTTGTATTTTTTGTTTGTTTGTTTGTTTGTACTATATATATGTGTGTGTGTGTTTGTGCGTGTGTGTGTGCGTGTTTTTTTTTTTCTCTTTCTTAATTTCTAATTTGTATGTAAACGTAAGAAATGCTTGAATTAAAAAATATTAAAAAAAAAAAAAAAAAAAACTATCCTTTAGAGTGGTGAACAAATTATAGTATTTTTTGGTAGGTCCCGGCAGGTATACGGTGAGACGATAAGTACGCAAAAGTTCATTGATGTACAAGAAGTCACTCTCGATCACTCAGTGAGAAGTACGTTGGAACTCACTTGTTTTATTAATAGTGGGTGGTCCTCATAATCACAAAGATGCTATCAAATTTCAAACTGCAGTATACAACTTTTCTACGCTCAGTAAAGTGCGTATAGAAACTGTCTTGTAAGAAATCCGTATTATTCCAGCTTTGTTTGGCCGTGAATACGAATCTGTGTTTCGGAAACACTTTTTTTAAATTCAAGTTTTCGTTTTGGAAAATGCTGTCGGTAATTTTATCTATCATTCTGGAAAGAGTCGTGTTCTCGCGTTTCAATTGCGTGAATGAGCGCTTTTCACGATCATGGCACTTTGATAATTCGGTTTGACTAGGTTGAATTATGCAGTCTGGTTGAATATACTTCTCCGTCTGTAGAAAATGTCCTCTTTCAACTAAATTGCTGTGTCACATCGATATGATCGATTTTTCGTGATTTTAACGATTTCTAACGGTAAGTCCGACATTGCTGTTTTTTGGCATAAGTTAAATAGTCCAACTGAG